TGCAGCGTTGTTGGGTGCGTTGTTAGAGACACTGGGATCTGTGGGGTCGCAGGGGATCGTCTCCACGCACCTGCACCGGGAGCTGTCTCTGCTGCGTTTGTCTCTTGCTGCTGATTCTGTTTCTTTTAAGCAAATGAAAGCAACAAAAATAAATAAAAATATAAATATAAATATAAATAAAAATATTAATATAAATACACAAATATACCCCAAGGACCTTCATCCTAATTATAATCATAATTTATTAGGCAGTCAGCAGCAACAGCAACAGCAGCAGCAGCAGCAGCAACAGCAGCTGCTGCAGGAACCAGGACAGCAGCAGCAAGACAACGATGCTGCGGCAGCAACCAGCAGCAAGTGGTGGTGTACAGAAGAAAGCAATGACAATAAAATACAAACAGAAACAGCAGCAGCAGCAGCAACAGCAGCAGCAGCAGCAGCAGCAGCAGCAGCAGAAAAAGAAGAAGAAGAGAAATATAAATATGAACTTAAAGAAGGAATTTGCTTCGCCTCGAATGCTCTGCATGCAGCAAGAAAGGCGGGGCTGCCGCAGCAGCTGCTGCAGCGTGCTGAGGAGCTCAAAGAAATACTGGAGCAGCAGCAGCAGCAGCAGCAGCAGCTGCAGCAGCAGCAGCTGCAGCAGCAGCAACTGCAACTGCAGCAGCAGCTGCAGCAGCAGCTCCAGATGCAGCAACTCCAACTGCAGCAGCAGCAACTCCAGCTGCAGCAGCAGCAACAACAGAAGCTGCAGCAGCAACTGCAGCTGCAGCAGCAACAACACCAGTTGCAGCAGCAGCAACAACAGCAGTTGCAGCAGCAGGTGCAGCAGCAGCAGCAACCACAACAATTGCAACAGCAGGTGCAGCAGCAGCAACAACAACAACAGCTGCAGCAGCAGCTGCAGCAGCTGCAGCAACAACAGCAGCAACAAGAGCAGTTGCAGCAGCAGCTGCAGCAGCTGCAGCAACAACAGCAGCAACAGCAGCTGCTGCAGCAGCAGCTGCAGCAGCTGCAGCAACAACAGCAGTTGCAGCAGCAGCTGCAGCAGGTGCAGCAGCAGCAACAGCAGCAACAGCAGCAGCAGCAGCAACAGCAGGTGGAAGGGGAGAAGGAGGAAGCACAAAAGAAACAGCAGCAACAAACACAGACTCAACAGCAGCAAGACGAGCAGCAGCAACAGCAGCAGCAAAAACAACAACAGCAGCAGCAGCAACAACAACAACAGCAACCGCAACAGCGACAGCATAACCAGCAGCAGCAGCTGCACCACCACCAACAGCAGCAGAACCAGCAGCAGCTGCAGCAGCACCAGCAGCCACCGCAGCACCAGCAGCAGCCGCAGCAACACCAGCAGCAGCCGCAGCAACACCAGCAGCAGCCACAGCAACACCAGCAGCAGCAGCAGCAACACCAGCAGGAGCAGCAGCAGCCGCAGCAGCAGCAGCCGCAGCCGCCGCAGCAGCAGCCGCAGCAGCAGCACCAGCAGCAGCAGCCGCAGCAGCAGCACCAGCAGCAGCAACCGCAGCAGCAGCAGCAGCAGCAGCAGCAGCATCAGCAGCACCAGCTCCAGCCGCAGCAGCACCAGCAGCAGCAGCCGCAGCAGCAGCACCAGCAGCAGCAGCCGCAGCAGCAGCAGCAGCAGCAGCAGCAGCAGGACTATGGATATTCTGTGTTATCATCCCGCATAAAATCTGCTTCGAGTTTTAACGAAAAAATAAAAAAAATAAAAGAAACCCTCATACAGGTGGTGAACCAAGTCAGCAGCAGCAGCAGCAGCAGCAGCAGCAGCAGCAGCAGCAGGAGGAGAGATCCAGAGGTGTTGTTTCTTCCTCCTCCTCCTCAGTGTTTATCTCCTCCCCCCCACTGCGACCACTCTCCTTGTGTTTATATTTTAATTGCGCCACCGCAACACACAAAAAATAAAAATATAAATAAAACAATAAATGAGGGTTTGTTGCTGCAGCAGCAGCAGCAGCAGCAGCA